ACTCTGGACCATCTATGCTACTATGGACCCGCATCACTTCGATAGCTGGACACTAGTGGGCGCAGCTTCCAGAGCGATGGTCGATCTCGGTATACATCAAGACCCTTCTAAGAATGTAGCAATGTCAAGAGCAAAGCTAGAGATCAGGAGAAGAGTGTACTGGTGCGTATACTCTCTAGACAGGTAAGGCCGCGCCTCACGCTTCTTCTCTCTCTCTCTCTCTCTCTCTCTCTCTCTCTCTCTCTCTGCTTGCTAACCACATGGTAGATCAACATCGCTCGTCCAGACTCGCGCCTTTTCATTCTCAGACGAGGCTGCACACGTCGGCTTTCCATTCTATAACGCCTCAGTATCTCCAAAGTTTGCCTCGCCTACATCCCAAGTCTTCCAACAGTCTTTCGACACCGCAGTTGATCTCTTTAGGATACGAGAGATACAATCTGAGTGGTACATGGATCTCTTCCAATCTGGGCGCGAGCCCTGGCAGGAACCCTACCAATATATCTGGAAGCAATATAACAGGATGTCGGAGTGGTTCCAAGATATGCCACAAAGCACTTTACCCGCCGTAAAGTCCTTCTTCGAGCTCGAACTTCTTTACAGCTATGTTTACATTCTCTCACCAAGCCCGCGGATACCCCACATACACGAGTATGCGCAACGGCTGATCTTTGAACATTGCATCGCATATGCTACAAACCTCTTGGCCGTATTGGATAAGCCGTCTCATACAGTCAAACCTCCGGTCACCTTCTATGACGCCATGCGTGCGTATATGACAGGCCGACAGTTTGTCGATGTTCTGTCGCGCAACATGGAAATGATTCTTGACCCAAGACCACCAGTGCCTCCAACACCACTGGCCCCTCAAACGGAATCAGAAGATCCGCTTGCACCACCCGCGCAAATCAGCGCACCGCCTTTTCCGTCGCCACTGCTACCAGAGGGGCAAACTTCGCCATTGGATCCTACAAACCGGGCGATAAACGCTATCCACGACTACACATCAGTACTTTCTAAGTTCGGGTTGAGATTCGGTTTCACTCACTGGCGCGATCGCTTCCAACGAGAGTCAGCCGCTCTCTCCGCTCAGCTCTACCAACGCCAGCAGACGTCCCCACACACCTCGCCTCCAGTACAGCAGCTCCCACCGCCCGTGGATTATCCTCCGCAATGGTTACCGATGCCGTCCGTGTCGCCGCAAGCGCCGAACTTGATGTATCCTGGCGGCCCAACAACACCACCCAGTCTCTTCCCACAATCTAGTCCTTTCGCCAGCTCAATGTCTTACACCGGCACCTCGTACGACGGATCCGGCCACAGTCCGCAACCACACGGTATGACCTTCGATGCGAGCCCAGGTCAGCAAACGTGGGCTACCCCATCACCTCAGCCGGTACCAGAGTTGCCGCAACCTTCCGGTGGTCAGAAGAGGAGGGCGATGGTGTATGGTCCGGGCTTACCGGCGCCGCATCAGGGTCAGGGTCATAGCCCTGGTGCGTCGTCGATATCAGGGCAGGATAGCAATGGATGGACACAGCAGGATCAGCAGCAGCAGCAGCAACAAGATCCAAACAGTTACTTCCAAGTACCGTCTCTACAGCAGCAGCATAGCAATTCCTGGACGCAGGATCCGTCGCAAGGCAATTGGGGTTGATAGAAGCAAGATCGCAATACTTATTCTGTCCAATGATATGAAACCTGTCTGATATTCTGTTGTTGCAAACCGAGCACCTTTTCGCATTAAATCCTCTAGCAAGCATGTGAACTACAGTACATGGCGGGCCCGTAATCCGACCTGACCTCGTACGTGAGAAGGCGTTGCTTCCTACGGGGGATAATCTAGTCGCTTAAAGATCCATTAAATTACTCCGTTGTCATTCGGTTTTCCCAGCGCATCCACTGAGACTTAGCCAAGCCTTCTTTCAGCAGATGAGCCGCAACATGATCTTGTCTTTCCTCCCAATCGCGAAGAACCTGATAGCAGAACCCGCACCTCAAGGACTCAGGATTGAAGTCAGGATTACCCTGCTTCAATCTAGAAACTGAATGCTTGCTGACGTTGCCTCTCCGATGGCGCTCTTTCATGTGAATCAAGAGCTGGTCTTCGCGATAGAAGATGCGAGATGCGGCATCTTTGTGGATTGCGGAAGGCTGTACGCCTAGGTTGCAGACCCAATGGTACGGCCAGTAATGTACAGCTGTTTCGTGACGGTCCCATTCAGAGCGGAATTGGAAGGACTTGTTGCAGCTTGACCAAGTGCAGTACCATGAACGGCTTTTTGGGCGTTTAGTAGTTACGGGGCTCTTTTCTTCTGTTTCGCGGGCTGATGCCGTAGCATTGAATTGGTTCGGAACCTGCACCCAGCTTTTGCGTCCTCGGCGCGGACCCCTGGAATCGACAGAATTCTGACTGATCCAACTCCCTGCACTGCTCCCAGAATTTATTGAACTATCCGAGCCAGCTATGCTACCAGCCACATCGTTTGTAGGCAGGAGAGCTCGCGACATCCGGGCTCTGAGTCTAGAATCTTTCCAAGTTCGGGAGTTGTGTTGTTTCAGTACTTCGAGTTCAGACTGCGTCATCTTTGTCGTGCTCGGGATCCGAGCTTCAAATTTCGATGTGCGGTCCAATTCAGCTATTAGCTGTTCCGTTGTTCCCGTTCTTAAGATCAAAGAGTAATTATCCAAGAGTGAGTCAATGGCAGTCGAAGGGATGGCTTCCTCTGTGAGAGGGGTCGCGAGATATCGCTCGAGAGAAGTTGTGCTACGGGCGGGCGACACTCGATCCAGTTCCCTGAGACTCTCGGCTGAGACGGACGTCGATGCTTGTGAGGGCGTCTCCGATACTGAGCGCTCCCGACTTTCTTGTGGTGACAAAGCAACCGGAAAACCTAGCAGAAGACATTAGCTGTTGCATTCTGGATAGTCCAAGGTTTCCAAATGGCTGTTGGGAGTAAAAGAAGTAAAGGTAACGCACGGATATGAGCCGTGCGGTGTCTGGCGTTACTGAACCACGTCTTGACACATTTCTTGTCCAGCCCCGTTCGTTCCTGCAGATCGTTCATCTCGCGTGTGCCAGGGTAGCGGTTTTTCGAGAAATATGCCGACAAGATGGTCCTGTTCTTCGAAGATATATTTGACCGTCGTGATAGTTGCTTTACCAGCGGTCTGGTCGGATCGCGGGACTTATTGGCCGTATATGAGTGAGTCTGATCGTTCGAATGCAAATTCGGGCTTGTTGGGCCCATCTCAAATGAATCCAGAGATAGAGACTGGCCAGCGAGGTTTGCTTCGGTAAGCTCAAACCGTTCTGGGGCGGGTTCCAATGGTTTCAGAATATCGTTTGGAGATGCGATTGGCTGTTCCAGATGGAAAGAAGGTAGTGGTAAGTCGTTGTCTACGGCAAAGTTACCACATACGCCGTGCTGTTCGCAGTAGAGGGGCGGGAAGTCGCACACGCAACCCAAGTCCATGGTCGAATCTGCTTCTAGACCAGTTGCGTGCTCTGATTCAGGCCTGGGTTCGATCGAAAGAATGGGTACATTCCCCCATAACATTGTGTCCATAGCATCTTGCTCTTCGAGAAATCGCTGATAAGTTGCGTCTTGGTTCATATTTGGTTCAAGATGTTTGGGTTGAATCTGGAAGGTGCATTCCGCGTCCATGGCAGCGGTAATAGAATGGAAACGAAGTATAATGCAGCTGATAAGTAATCGGTACGAAAGATTTGGCTGACAGCTTGTAAGCGCTTGATGGTGACATGGCGAAAGCTGGGGTTCGGCTCGCTATTAAGCTACCCATGGTGAGGCTGAAAAACAAGGTGAGCGGCTTGACGTTCGTGGCTTGATGTTCGAGGCTAGGAGACGGGGAGCAGCGGTGTCGTCGTTGCCCGATTGGCTAATGCTAGCACCGCATCCACTAACGCGATGCAGAGGAACAAGGGGAGAAGGACGCAATATGTGCACAGTGACGTTGCACAGGATGCCACGGGGGAAGTAGATGGAATCGTGGGGTTGTCGCGAAGGATGGACACGACGCGCACGCGTCCCAGCAGGGGATCGCCAGGGCAGGCAGGGTCGACCCCCACTTGACGCGGGGCATCCGCCGCTATCTCTGCGCAACACCCAGCAACCAATCTGACACCCGACGAAATGCCTTACATCACCCTCGCGCACGCATCGCATTACTACCCAAGATTTTTCCAACTCCCAGAGCCACCCTGAAGCATCCTAAACCACCACCACAATGTCCACCCCCCTCGAGCGCGCCCTAACCGCCATCGACGCAGCCCACGCCGAAGACCCAAATAAAGTCACGATCAATGGCACCGAGATGCCCTACGAACTCCACTACGCGCAGAAATGCACCTCCTACCTCGAAAAGCGCGCCCCCTCCGCCTCCGAGCCCCTCCGCCTCGCCATCCGCGCCCAACACTTCCGGCGCTGGGAAGTGCCTCGCGCGAGCTACCCCATGACGCGCCCGGGCTACCACGCCTGGCGCACCTTTCTCAAAAAACGACAAGCCGAGCTCGTCGAACAAATCTGCCTCGATGCCGGATACACCGCTGAAGACGCGTCAACAGTTGGCAGTTTGATCCGCAAAGAAGACCTCAAGGTGAATGAGGAGACGATGGTGTTGGAGGATGTGGCGTGTCTTGTTTTTCTGGACGACCAGTTCGAGGCGTTTGAGAAGGAACATGATGAGGAGAAGATTGTCAAGATTTTGCAGAAGACGTGGGGGAAGATGACGGAGAGGGGGCATGAGCTTGCGTTGGAGATTCCGATGGCGGGGAGGCCGAGGGAGGTTGTTATGAAGGCGCTGGAGGGGAATTGATGATGGGCATGGGATGGAATGGAATGAAATGAAAAACGAATGGAATTGAAGTGTGTGATTTCTGTAGATTATGTGGGTGTGCCATTTGTTATGTTTGGGTATCGTTCTGAGCCTGTGACGTCTTTTTCCCTCCTCTTACAACCAGTATGTCCACGGGTCGTAGCCTAAGCTCCGCCCTCACGCTTAGCGTACTCCTCCTCCATGGCCTCCTCGTACCGCTTCTCAGCTTCCTTCTCCTGCTCAGTCTTCTCGCCGTTGTTCGCGTTCGCGAGAGCTCGTGTAGCGGCGTTCTGTATGTCGTTCTGAGCCTGCGCAGCAGCTGAAGACTGGGTCGCTGGGGTGGACTGCGAGGTCGCGGATGGCATTGGGACGGGCATCTTGGTGGTTGAGTTTGGTGGTGTTTGTAATGTGTAGAGTTTGAGTGTTTGATGCGAGATTGGGTAGTTGCTCGGGATTGGGTGTGGAAGATGAGAGACGTTGGAGGGACGCGTGAGGGGGCTATATACTGCTATACAAATGACTGGTGTTGCGTCATTGTGGCGGTGCGGGTGTGGCTGGAATCTTCCAAAGAACGTGATTCGCCACTGATCTTCGTTTGGCGACTTTCGCATGTGAAGACCACTGGCAGGTGCTGTTTGCACAATATGATGCGTTTTTACTTTAGGAGAGTTGTCTTCTAAATCATTGAAGGGCGATGCAATCATGGAGTTGACGTGGTGATGTAGACACAGAAGGTCGCAATACATCATCCCCTCGTCCTCTTACCACGATCAACGCTTGTTCCGTGCTTATTGCTTACAGCATTACTGATATTTTCAAATCGACATGTTGTTCTATACAAGCATTTTGCTTCTGTCTATCGCATTTTGCGTTTCTCTAGGAGATGCTACTAATACGCTCTCTGGGTCTCTCAAGCCAACACCGACGCGGTTGCACTCCCATGCACATCCCCATGTACCTACATCCACCAGCTCACCTCTCGCCATGGCGAAACAAGGCCATCCTACCGAAGGCCCCGCCTATTCAAGCTGGGCCCTTGCAGCAATCTCGTCTGCATCTCTCTCCACTACATCCCAGTGTCCACCCCTCCAATCCCTATGCGGCAGTGTCGGTTGCTACGATCCGAGTACAGAGCAATGCTGCGCCAAGAGGGGCATTTGCAAAATCACCCAAAACTGCGTCGAGGTCCAGCTACACAACGGCACGATGGCGGCAGGATGCTGTCCTGGTGGAACATCAGCTTGTGATGGCGTGTGCTTCGACGCATCCGCCTCCAAGTGCTGCGCTGCACCAGGCGGCACTCATGGGCTTTGCTCTGCGAACCAGGACTGCTGTGGAAACATGTGCTGCGATGAAGGCGCGGTTTGTGCCAATGGATTCAACGGTCCGATGTGCTGGCAAAAGCATGATAAAGGCACTGAGGAGATTGAAGGCCACGCCTTTATTCCACCAATTATTCCCGTTCCGAGTACGCAAAAGAGCGGTAGCGTGAGGATCAAAGCTCCCGGAATCTTCCACGCTCTATTGTTCTTGGCCCAGTTTGTGGCTGGTAGCTCCGAACAGGCCTTTCCCGCGACGCGTCTCCAATCGCTACCAATACCCCATGGAGCAGAAAACCCGGACATGGGCAATTTGACCGCATCCCCGAACAAGCGTTCATCCTGTGAGCCATTGGAACCCTGTGGTAGCGGCTGTCAATATAAACCATCTCAGTGCTGCTTCCGGGAGGATGGTACTTCTGGTTCATGTAATGCAGGCGATGTGTGCTGTCAAGAGTACTGTTGTCCTTCCAATACCATATGTATGGTCGCATCTGTGCCGCACAGTTCCGGACCGTGGTGCTGGCCGCCAGATTTACCGAGAACAACAGCGAACGTGCCATATGATCCGTTTCCTTGGCCTCACGACGTGGATGGGACAGGCTTCAAGAACACTCGAATCAAGAACAGCTCCGCTGGAACGCGACCATCCAGTGTGTTTTGCCTCATTACGTTCTTACTTTCGTTAGTGATCGCAACCTCCGCTTTGAGATTAGTGTCGATGAGTACCACTGCAACGACTGTGGGCGAACCGCTGAGGACGGTCACCACTACTATGCCGCCACATACGACAACTGGAATGGATAGCCACGTTGTTTTACCCGATGAAAAAGACCTGGATGCTGCAGGCCACGGTGGTCATGGTCACGGCGGTCACAACGCTGGAGATCATGCTGGAGGCGGTCATAACAACACCGCAGCGCGACCGGCTATACCACGACTCTTTCGACTCCTGGTCTGAAAGGGGAAACTCTGCCGTTCCAGCCGTGATTTCATCATGGCATCTGCCGACTCCCTTGCCTCGGAATAGAAGCATATTTAATGATTATCATGGGAGTGTCTGGGTCGTCGGCTGGGAACTTCAAGCGAGAGGGGTGGCAGCGAAATGAACGGTGTTTTCTTTTCTGTTCTTGCTGTATGTAGGATGGGCGGGGCCACATATCATGCAGATTTAGGACTAAGGATGGATCTGTCGTCGGCCGAATTTGAATGACGTAGATACTGTCTATCGCGTCAGTACAAACGAAGTGCAGATTGTCGAATCTCGTGAAAATATCGATAGGCTCAGACTTGCCTTTTTTAATATCGAATCAATGACACCAAATGCGTAGAGGATGTCCTATCTATTGCTAGATAGGAAAGCCCCGAGGAAAAGCATTGGTGCCTCAACCGCTTGCTCGGTCTGTAATCATAGCCAAAGGGGAAATGAGAACAAAAGAGTGACTGACCTTATTGACTTAGAACATGCGTGCCTTTCGTCTTGCCCGTCTCCATTTTGGCAGTGCGAGCGCCAAATTGTATCGCACGCTTCTTCTCTGCAGCTACTCTTTTCATGCCCAAGTGCCATGCCAACAAACGAAGTGCCCGCTTCCCGGGCTCGAGCAGCTGTGCAGGGTCTTCGCTATCGGTGATTTGCTCTAAGCCGAAATCGCATTTGGACGTCACCGGAAGACGGAGGGCTAATGCTATGAAGTCTTCGTCCAGGAAAGGAAATCGGACTTCTCTACTGCTGTTGCTGATCACGCGATCATCACGACCCAAGTTTCTCTTTCCCAGACGACTGAAATCGAGTTCCAGCTCTTCAATTAGGCCAGGATACCCGCGCCGAGCAAAGGCTGTAGCGTGTCGTTGGTACCCACCGAAGAGCTCGTCAGCACCGAGTCCGGAAAGAAGTACGTGCGCGGTAGTGGAGTAGGGCTCAGCTTTGGCCTTGGCCACAACGTGCGACAAGCCAACTCCGCGGGAAGCGAAGTAAAGTGCGTATGATATGGACAGATCCATTTCCGTGTTGTGGGGATGCATCAACGCCATGACGGTGCTGCGATGAGCTTGTGTCTCGGTATAGGGCACGTTGACCTCGACGAAACGCCACTCACGTCCAGGACAAATCTCTACCAGCTCTGCAAGAGATGATCGTCCAGTGACACGGTCGGGACAGAGCTCGTAGGGACTGACGTCTGGCTCGAGATTGGAGTGAATCCGAGGGTTCTCAAACGCGACATTGAGTAGGTCGACAGGTTCGCTTAGTGGTAGAAGTTCGTGACACATGCGCGCGAGGATTGTGCAGTCCAGGCCACCAGAGAAAAGAACGGCTACGCGTGTTTCTCCCCAGACTCCAAGCTTCGATTCCCCAGTCACTGCCTCCCGTATGTGTTGAGTGCGCAATTGGAGTGATCTCTCTAACGACGCCCTTAGCTGTTCTACTGCCCCAGCATCCTGTGAAGCAGAGTTACTGTCGATAGTCTGGTCCATGGCTGGGAACGGCAGAGTCTGAATCTGTTAGCATAAGTCGTGTGTCAGATGACTTACCTACGAAAGACAACCCAGAGTCCTCTTCTTGATCTGAGCGGCGATGCGGAACTCTCGTTACTGGGAACGATTTTGACGTAGGGTCTGCCAGCTCTACGTCTATAACATAGATACCATCGGCTTCCACCTCGGCCCACGACTCACCAGAGGCATTATCGCATACGCTAGAGAGTACAAGAGTGCCATCAGAAGTAGACTTTTGGAGCAGCGAGCGCCTTCCTAGGCAGTCGCGTCCGTAGTAGATGCGTTTGTGCGATGCATCGTAAAAGACGAGAGCATATGGGCCTCGCACGACTGACAGCAGCTCGATGACGCGTGGCATAGACGCCTCGCGCGTTCCAGTACATGCGTCCAGAAGTTTGGTAAAGACTAGCTTAGAGTCATTACCATCAATTGCCTGTCCAGCAATGCTCCACGCCTCCCCATTCCAGCAGAGGACGGAGCCGGTCGTATCATCTCTAAGTGGCTGCTCAACGATGTCGTTGCCGCGGAGAGCAAGAACCGTCGACAGGAAAGTCGCGTGAAGACGCGTTGAGACGTCCTTGGCGTTGGATTCGACAACGGTCTGGTGCTGCCCTGTGCTGTCTGGCCCTCTATTCCGGAGCAGTCGCTGGGTGTTGGCGTCAGGTATCACGTGTTCAGTCCGACTGAGCGAGAAGAAGATGCCGCACATGGCTGGGCTGATGAAATGGCGACGCAGGTCTGGTGTTGGCAGTGGCACGGCTGCAGTTGCTTGACGCGCTAGCGGCGGTGGCTCGGAGACTCGGCTTCTAGATGCCGGGAGACCATGCGGACGATTCACACACGCAGGCGCAGCAGACGTCAATCACCAGAGCACTTGACTTATATTCCCCCTGCGAGAGCTGTTGTGAGCTCTATTCCAGACCCATGGACGCTTGATCAACCACCCACAGCCCATCCATAATCCCCCCGTCGCACTCGGTCTATGTCTCCCCCGAACGCAACTCCGCAACCCGATGCAGCCCACGACAGCCACGCCGAAAGGGAGCTAGATAAGGTGCACGACCAGCACAATGTAGCCACGAGCAACCAGAGCGCGCCTTCCGTAGAGCAGCGTACAGATTCCAAAGCACCGACGGATGACGCGAACACGGCGACTGACGCGGGGCAGCCTAGCCATGTCGAGGCCCAAGACGAGGGGCATGATGGCAAGGAAGAGCCGACAGATGGGGTAGAGAAAGCACCTGAAACACCAGAGGAGACGAATGCTGCCCCAACAGGTCTCGAGGAACCCCAAGAGAAGGACACAGAAGCTGCGCAGCCAGCATCTACCGCGCCGATAGACGAGCTCACCACCAAGACAGAGAGCACAACGCTAGACCGAGCATCAACACCACCGCCGGGGCTCAGCGAGAAATCAGCAGGGAAAGCGCCCATACAATCGCCGTCGCCTCCGCCCCCTCCACCCAAAGACGACAAATACCTCACGACCAGCAACGTGCCCAGCCGAACCACATCCCCAATGTCGCAGGAACGATCGAGTGGGAGAAATTCGGAAGATGCTGCGG